ATATATATATATATATATATATATATATATATATATATATATATATATATTGGGCAAACCAAATATGCATCACTGAGGTTTATGGAATCCTGAGAATAGATGTGATTGATTGAATCTTGAGAATGAATTACCCATTTTAATGTAATGATATTAACTAGGGGTGCTCATGGTTCGGAGTACTACTGATTTTTGGAAAATCAGTAATCGAAATTGAATCAAAGTCAATCGGTTTGGTTAATCGTCAGTTTAATGCAAATATATTCATCTGCAATATATAGATAATATAAAATATATATAAAAAATATATATAATACACATAATATATATAAATATGTGTATACCGGTCGGTTTAGTTAACTGAAATTTTTTATTCGATCCTATTAGTATGATTTGGTCTTTTGGTTTTTTATGATCATCCCTAATATTGACATAAGAATGGGGCTTTTTATGTAGCAGTGTATTGTTTGAGTCCAATCCAGGAATCAAATCTCAACTCTCAATTAGAGTCTTGGGCCTCTTGGCCTACCCTATCTTTACTTGAACATGTATAGAGCATACCCTTCTGCTAGTATATATATAAAAGGATTTTTGATGAAGGCATGCAAGACTCTCAATACACAAATTTTGATTATTGAACCAGGTCAGGCAAGAACTGATTCCAGGCCTATAGCTTTTATATATAAAACTAGTGAGGACACGTGCAATGCGTGAGCATTTTAGGGAAAGTTGAAATTGAAAGAGCCTCATGTGATGAACAGGATTCATTGGAGAATTATCTTAATTTTATTAATTGTTTGAACCAATCTATAGCATGTACTTTTTCCGTAATTGTATATTTTCGCTTTCCTTAAGGCTGTGCTTGGTTTGAAAGAAAAGGTAGGAAAAGGAAGGGAAAGGCAGGGAAACTTCTACAAACCATATATAGGTTTTCTGCCTTTCCCTACCTTTTCCTACAAACCAAACATAGCCTAATAGTAATCATAAAATGATCCTTATCTATTAGGTATTACCAGATTCAGAACTTTATCCAATGCATCTAATTAAGTAAGGAAAGGAAGAAATGTAAATCTAATATGGACAAACATAAATAATTAATTCATGTAAATTAATTTTAACAATTTATTATGTTTAATAAATACTTCATATTTTGGTGATATGTTTTCTTTGTCTAATTAATGTGAAATTGATTCTATTAATTTACTAATTAATAAATTAAGTGATTCGCTTAATTGAATGATTT